TCATCCAGGTTTTCTCTACTTTCGCAAAAACACCCTGCTCCGTTGCATTGCAGTCTTCCAATCTGTCAAGTACGGATCTTTCCTAAGCCAATCAGCTATTTTTACATTTCGTAAGCCTTCAACGGACTCACACCAACAAAAGCAACGATTGATCGATCCTTCTTCGTTATTAACGGAAGCACCATTGCTTAGACTCAATGCCCGCATTCGTCTGGCTAGTGCGAGCTTTTATATCTTTCATTTATCCATTGATTTATCTCAGCGAAATCTTTCACCATGACGCTTACTGTCACTGATATAGCCCATCTTCTGTCTGTTCTGCTACATAAGCTGTTGCAGTCCAACTCGACCTGTGCGCAGTAGACTTCGGCTTCCCATTCAATTAGATCTTGGCAAATGGTTTCGTCTACTGTCCACTCTTGTCAGGCGTCTTGGGCTGAACGTCTGATTGTCCTTCATTCTGACCAGATTGGGTTCCCAGTGACGGCTCCGTGAGGATTGGCCCGCTCGAAGAATTCTTCGGCAAAATCAATCATAGTCACCTTTTCTCTGGCGGTTTCTCCTTCAAGCCACGAAGTGGTGCCTCATCTGGTGGAGGTAATGATAAAATAAAACTCAGTAGCTTTGTTCGTAGGAAAAACTAAAGGTGATAATATTAAGGCCGTTCTGAGCACTCTGGGAAATCACTGCAGCAAATATTCAAGTTAATATTGTCTTAGTGCAGTACATGGAAAACAATGGCCTTCCATAACAGCCGGCATGAATTACGTGATTATTTCGTCTAGAATGATATTTTGTGCAATTCACGATCTCAAAGAGAAATAATTTACAATAAGGCAAAGAAGCTTGGATAACAGTTGATTATAAAAACAAACTTTGCTATTTTCGACAGCTGAGAGAATTGACCAAATGAATTCAAATGCCTTAGAATTGTTATTATACTGTGTATTTCATCGTATCATTTTCAAAAGTTTTCTTACCTCCTTATGTCAGCCAACAATAATGTTATTATGGCCTTTTGCAATAATGCCGAGTTGGTGACACTTCTTTCATTCTAATTTGTGATCAGTTTGATTCTAGACAAAACAGTTTTAAAAGCACAAAAAGTTTCCTTATTTCTGACCAACCGTTTTTCCTTACCTGAATGTTCCAGCAGTCAGAGAAAGACTGCACGATTACAGTAGCTACTTAGGAGTATCCTCGTCACCTACTTTGCCGTGGCATGCAATCCCTTTCTGATTTCTGAGGATTAGTCTGCTCCAGTCTGTGTTATAACCTTAGTGAAGATTAAGCACGCGTTCTAAACGAATGTATGATATACGAAAATTTTACTTGTTCCTTACGATGATTACTATTATAATTTTTTGGACATAAAATTTCTCACCACCTGACCGTGATCTCCTTCATTACAAGTCCTTCAGAGGCGATTGATGTCTGTCTGTCTATCCGTCTGTTTGTCATTCAGTCAGTTTCGTTGTCCATTATCCTTTTGGGTCGCGGAAAGAGCCATATCAAACAGTGTCTTCTGCATCCTTAATCCTGTGCATGCGCTGAGCTTCGGCAGAAAATAGCATTAGTTTTGGACAGAGTTATCACTTTTCGTTCCTGTTTCATCCGTTGGTCTTCGGTTAATCAAATATTAGCTGTTTTGTCTTCCTCTCTGGAAGCATTCGCAAAGCGTGCCCAAATTATTGTGCAGCTGTGCCTCCTCAGTATAGAAAAGCAGCGACTCTGCTCTAAGTGCTTCGCGGATATTTGCACTCCGGAATCGGTCGAGACACGCCAGCTCAGCAATTTTCCTCAAAAACCGTTTTCAGACATATGTAGTTTGAATCGCAATTTTTTGTCATTACCCATGATTGATGACCACAGTTGAGTATCAGGATAAAGATGAACTTGAACACTGAAGAGACTGCAGACTCAGCTCTGATTTAATCATCACGCTTGGAGCTAGTCCACATAACGTAGCAGGCAGGCTTTTCCAATTCGTCTGTCGACACCTTTTTTCCAATATTTTTCATAGGTAAATATGGCCCCTAGGTAAGTGAACTTCTTTACCCGCCCCACTGCTTTTCTCTGTATCTTCAAAGCACGTAGGTTAAGGAAACAAGATTTGACATGATAAACCTATGAATTGAAGCTCATGCTAATTTGTTTGAGTTTTAGTTATACTCAATTAGTCTACCGTTTCAGTTCACACAGAAAGCTTACCAAGCTATTGTAGTGATGTCATGAATCCTGACATTTGGTCTACTGTTTTCGGGTAGCTCATGGTGTGAATGTTATGCTGAATACACAGAAGAAAGAATCGAAATTTGTAGCAGTTTTGTTTTCAGCTTTTTCAGCAGAGGCAAAGAATTTTTTCTTTTTATAAAGTTTCACAAAATACAAACAGTGGCCTGTAGAAGTTTAGTGAATGCTTCTATAGAGAAAACAGAAATAATTCAGATATCTGATGACCTTTAGCAAGTGACTCGACTGACTGTGCTGCTGTTGATTCGACTTGTCTTCTGAGGAGACTTTACATTCAAGGATGGGAGAATGTTGGAGATACTGTTTGATGCTGTTGTCTCGGTGATCCGATTGAATATGCGACTATACAGTCCGTTTGACGGATGAAAAAAACTGATTTCTGCTCTGTACGATTAGTCATGCGATTGTTTGTTCCCGGACCTATACGAAGATAACAACATCCTCTTCAAAATTTATTCTTTTATAAGGTGCAAGCGGTTACTAATAATTAATGTATAATTGAAAA